AGCCATGCAGGTAATTGTGATTTCATATCGCTCGTCAAAACTATCTGATTTTTTCTTGCTCCATAGATTTTGTGCTCTGTGGCAAACCTTAAAACTCGTTGGTTCGGGTCGATACTTAATGGATATTAATAAATCTTAGATTTCAAGACGTAATAATTGAAAAAAATTAATTCTTTCAAATTATTATTGGTTCATTTTTTTTTGGTAGGAAAATTATTATTGGTTCATAGTATATTAAAAAATGTTTAGTAAAAATAATTAATTATCAAATAACTAAACAATTTGATATATGTGAAATAACTAGAAAATCAATCTTCTAGACGTATAGGAAATATTTTTTGCAGTTGACTCTTGAATAGAAATATGTTGTTAGCATTTCTAACTTTTTGATCAGGCTGCCCTGAAAATTTGGGATTCCTAACCTAAAAGAAATTGTCATCTATTTGGTAAAGAATTTGTTATTAAGATAACATTGTAAAATTTGAACTAGTAAGCTTTTGAAATAATCCTCAAAGACCTAACTTTTTTTTTTTTTTTTGCACACCAACCTAACTATTTAAAAATGCCTTACGCAAAGAAAATGATATATAGATTTGATTGATATAAAAGTACGAAACATGATCATTTTTAATGTAAACAAAGATAAATGAACTAAAAAACACAGAGATTGAAAAAAAAATGGCCACGAATCATTATAATACAATGAACTCTCCTTATTTGACATGTATGACTGAACGGCAACGCGTATGCCTTCTTGAGTTCTTTCAAATATTTAAGTATCTAACATTAGTTTATATCTATCAACGCGTATACTATATTTAGTATTTACATCAAGAATATGTAGTAAAATTTGTGTACTGTGAGACTTTTCAAAGGAAATTATACTAGTCCCGGACGAGAAAATTATGGACCAAGACCCGGAAACTTTTTGTAATTAAAGGGAAAAAAAACAATAATGCTAGTATTAAGTGGAAATAAAGTTATTTGTTTGATAAATAAAGATATTGATAACTAATTCTAATTTAATACAAAAGTCATCGGAATCCTATCTTCTCGCAGAGTGCCACGTGTCAATCCATCTCATAAGCTGGAAGTCAGACCAAACATGATAACATCCCCACGTTACATCTTAAGCTCATCGTATCTCCACCACCCAATCTACAAGCCATCTATACCCAAAACGAACTGTACAACATGGCCCATTAACGTGAGAATTGAAGATAACCCATGTTAACCGTAGCCGGAGACGATGAACTAGACCCGGTCGTGGGAGCAGAGCCGCCAACGGAAGCAGCCACTCCAAGAGTGTTGACTATAATCTCCCATGTGATGGAGAAGCTCGTGGCACGAAACGAGTGGTTAGCTAAGCAAACTAC